TATGTTTTCAATGGCTGTTCTAATTATATTTTCCAGTACTCCTAGAGACGGTGGAGGAGTGGCTTAAACTTTTTCTTTTAAATAGCCCCAAATTGAAAAATCCAAAAGGGTTAAATCTGGCGACCTTGCAGGCCAACGGATTGGTCCGTTGGTTCCTAGCCAATTTCCACCGAATCGCTCATTTAAGTAGTTAAAACGTTGCTGACGCGTGGAAACGAGATGGATAGTTGACAATAATTTTAAAGGCTTCCCGGTTCTTTTGATTCTTAAGAAACCCTAGATCTCCTTGCAAACCAGTGAAATATTCCTCCCTGTTGATTATTACAATTCTGGCTTTTCAAAATAAAGAAATAATAATTACAATGAAAAATGAAAATGATAGATATTTTCTGTCACGTGACTAGGTAAATACATATTAACTGTGCTTCGGTAATAACAAATACTAATTTTCTAATTAGTTATAATGCATGATATAGCTCTCCAAAATCTTCCAGCTTTTTTTCTCTAAGACAAGTCCCTTATAGTGGAAATTTTTTTAGAGATAATCCGACATACTTTATTAGTAGTATTTAGAAAACACCGTTTCCTATTCAAAATTCTGAGAAAATTTTAAATACATTTTGACATTTTAAACAAAAACTAAAATGGACGCAAATTTATGATATTTTTTTTGTTTTGCCAACTCAATGCAGAAGCTGCAAGAGAATCGCGTTTGCCTCTTATTTCAGCGGGTCGTTTGACAAAAAATTCATAGATACTGTCAAAACGCCGCCACATTGAATTTTGCATTTACGCCTCCATTTTGAAAAAGAATGACAACTTGTGATACATCGTTGAAAATGGAATTTTTAGCCTAATGAAAATATGTCAAACCGGAAGCCATATTAAGTTGTTTTTAATGGATAATCTTAGTTTTTATGTGTCATATCTTCAAACAAAATTTCAAGATCCGTCTTTAAACATCAATTGAATAGTGCCTTGTAAAATGATTTCGTTGACACCCGGTATAGTCTGACAATTTTGGACACTTTTTGATAACCAAATAAGGCAAACAAACAATGAACCATCATAATGACAAGTAACAACACTCTTATTCCCAAGATTTTGAGTACGGGAAGAAATCGCATTTGTGACGTTCCAGAAGGATTACTTTGTTCTATTTCCGAACGCATAGAACAGGTAAATCAAACAATTACGAATGATAAAATTGTTACAGAGCAGTACAACGTACACTCTGTAACAAGTTACGAATGAAGCCGTGAGGAACACAAAACGCAACAAGAAGCTTGTCTGTATCAGGACGTGGAACTCCGTGAATCAAAATTTGACATTGTTATGTACGAGTATGTCATATGTCACACTATCCCTTCCAGGGTTGCCAGGTATTTCGATAAGGTCTGAGTTTTGAAGATGTAACTCAGTGTTTATCAAAATAGACGTAAATCTGACAACAATTGCCTACAGATGACGTCATAGAAGCTATTCATATAGCTTAGAGACGTTCTTCTTATCCAAAACACGAGTACAAGATCAAGACTCTTAACATGTACAGGTTGGTTTGCCTGAGCGTATAAGAGCTCCACGTTTGTCAGACTTGTGTGTCAGATAGTGACGTCAACGTCTTGCTTGGAGCATAGCTATGAATGGCGCACCCCCCAGGCCGATTGAAATTGATAATATAAAACATATTTAAGAAATAATCTGAAAAAGAAAACCATCAGATTTCTGAATCTAGATATCATTTCAGATATGTACTCTGGCATATATTCTTGCTAAATGTTGCGCAAAAATATTCAGCATTCTTTGTTTTAAGAAACTTAAAATAAGAATGAAGAACAGCTATTAACTATTAGTCTAAAATTGTGTATTCAAGTATGAAAAATTTTAGTACTCCTATTGGGTATCATCTGTTGAGGCTCAACCGATATTTATCCTGCAGAAGGGAATAATCAGAGTTCTGTTCTCATGATACCTCCTGGAGTCTTGTGGAAAAACGTTTACATATGAAAGAATATTGTTCTCATTACTTACGCTAGAGGCATGCCTTTGTGTGAAGTCTTAACCATTTAGTTAAAAGTAGTATGTAGTATTATTATTACTTTTATTTTTAACACAGAATCACATCAAGCATTGGTCCCAAATACATAAGAATGACCAGGAGGACTCTCTGGAATATCAAAACATTTCCAAGTTACAGAGGGGTCAATGATAAGCATGTCGTGTGTCATCCTAAATACGTGTCATTATTGCTTTTTTTGCGATTACAATACCCCTTCCTGAGAAGTGAAACACGATATTTTATGAGTTGCATTTTTTACTGGGATTATCGGGCTTAATCAGGTCATGTTGGATAATCATTAATGGACTTTAACAGAAGCTCAATGTTTTGTGCGTAAATGTTGCGGGGCTAGAATGTTGGATGTATGGATTCCTTAGAAATGTTATAGAGCTTTTTCTATAATATTAAACTCAAAATGCTTTGAATGCACGGGATATGATCAATATTAGTAACTGTTTTAAGCAAAGAGAAGGAAACTCTGACTATATCGTTGATACGGGCTGTGCATTTAATATGGAATAAATGGAATTCTTGAAAAGAAAAAGGTCAGTGGAAATCACAATTACAGTGGAAAGCAGCAGGCAGAGCAGCGGTCGTCATCGAAAATCACTCGGATCATATTTTTCCGCCCCCCATCGGAATTCGCAATCTTTAGTTGGAAAATTTCATTACGTTCGTCGAATTTTCCGAATGGACGTCGCTTATGTCATATAATCCGTTTCGTTGCATTCCAATCAAGAATTTTGCCTGTTTTGAATAACTTCTCTAAAGATGAACATTCAACAACGACTGCTAAATACAGAGTGTTCCAGATCTCTGAACATGCCAAATTGTATACAGGGTGGTTCACAAGTCGTGACCAAAAATGAAACATCATACACAGGATCGCATTTTATGGGCGGTCTTTTGTGTAACCTTTTTTCCCGGGTTCCCGGGGGGCTTCCTTAAGGAGATACAGGGTGTTGAAGTTTAAAAATAGAAAACATTTTTTTTAATATCTTCAAAACCGTTAACTGGAATGGACTAAAACTTGGTATGTGGATTTACCTAAGCATTGTCCACTTTCAAAAGTCTTTACTTAAAATTAACGTGTCCAAGTGGCGGAGATAAAGGGGTTAGTGGCATTATTTTTTCCTAATGAAAATAGTACGTAACTGTTTTTTGTTTCAAAACGCGCAATTTTTCGAAGTTTACCTTCAATTTGCTACAAATAATTACTATTGTGTTTTTTCCTAGAGTGCATTGTTTTCGTGAAAATAAAAATAAAATAAATTAGATCATTCATGAAGAGCCGAGATACAATTAGTTTCAAAATAAACAAGAGGCATTGATACCAACGTGGCGTTTCTTGTCAAAGTTATGTGTTACACTGTTTTTTTTTTCGAAACGTGCAATTTTTCGAATCTTATTTGCTACAAACAGTTGCTCTTGTTTTTTTTCTAGAGTGCAATGTCTCGTAAAAATAAAAAAACACGTTAGATAATAAAAGCTTTATTTCAATAAGTGTTCGAAACGACCTCTATTCTGACAAATACAAGTGCGGCATCTTTTTTATAAAGAAAAACGGATTACCTATTATTTCTTGTAACTGATCAATAGTATTAATTTCTTCACCATGCACTAGTTGTTTAAGAGCACACCACAAAAAGAAATCCAGGGGGTTCAAACCAGGAGCCCTCGCAGGCCAATGTACGGGTCCGTTTCTGCCAATCCATCGTTGTCTAAAATGATTATTTAACTATGCGGTTATATCCCGACGAACATGCGGTTCTCTAGAAAAGCTAATTATGAGGTTGCACTTAAACATTGTGGCAATACGTGCATAAACAGTTGGGCATTGAAAATGCCACACCTGACATTTCTAGAAAATCTGTGCTGAAAAGAGTGGATTTTCAAACGACAAAATATATTCATTATGCGAATTGAAGGTTCCAATTCTCGTAAAAAGCGATTCATCTGACCACAAAGCCATATCAATAAAATCTGCATTTTGATTATGCATTTGCAGTAACCACTCACAAAAATTGCGCCGCTAGACTTCGTCGCTGGGTTGCAGACATTGTACATTTTGTCGATGTTAAGGATGTAAAACTTACCGATTTAAAACTCTCCACGCAAGACTTTGGGAACATGGTAACTTGGCTACAATCCGCCTAGTACCTGTGCTAGGATCATCCAACGCCAAATTAATCACTTTAAGATCCTCTTAAACAGTATGCCAGACCTCCTCTAACTCCGGAAATTATGGCAATTCAATATTCTCAAGAAACGTCAAGTTGGTATGAAGGCCTCCTATTATATTTTGAAACTAATTGTATCTCAGCTCTTCATTCTTCATGAAAGATCTAATTTGCTTCGTTTTTATTTTTACGAAAGCAGTGCACTCTAGGATAAAAATACAAGAGCGATTATTTGTAAATTTCTAAGTTGAAGGTAAAACTCGAAAAACTGTGCGTATTACCCTTTTTTGGAAAAATAATGCCACTAATCCCCTATATCTCCGCCACTCGTGCACGTGAATTTTAAGTAAAGACTTTTGAATGTGGACAATCCACATACCAAATTTTAGTTCATTCCCGTTGATGGTTTTGAAGACATTAATAAAGATGCTTTTGTTTTTAAACTTTAGTCCTGTGTACGATGTTTCATCTTTAGTCACGACTTGTAAGTCACCCTGTATCCTGTATAACATGAATGATGCATAGTTCCTTAGCTATAAAACAGTTGCGGGAGCCGCTGAGTCACTCAGGCTCTATGTTTTCCGAAGAGCTTTACTACTCTTGACCAACAAAGTAGCAAATACACTGCTATAAACTTATGCTCGTAGTTACAGCGTTTATTGATTAACACATAATAGCACTGTAAAGATAAGTAGTGTGTTGAACATGTTCCTTATAACGAATTTATGAACACATTTGCACAATAAATGAACTAGGCTTACTTATAAAGAATGGACTGTTCCAGAAGCTGACAGTAAACGTACTATGGGCCGAATTCTTGGGAGGTCCTTTACTTGAGGTCTTCTTACTGCGATAGTGCTTTATTTGCCTGAACATTTTGGAAGAATGCGGCATTTGTCGATCTGAGTCGTTCTGCATATGAAATAGGGTAGCCTCCTAATTCAGTAACTACTTACTACAAGGTGAAAGAGAGCCTTTCGAACGAAAAAAGGCTGCATTATCCTTCAAGAAACATATTTGACAGCTAGGTGTAGTGTCATTTCCAAAAGTCTACGAGGCAGATTTTCGCTTCGACAGAAATACCGTGTGTTTCAAATTTGGCTCTCATCATTATGATCTCGAAAACTGCGAGGGATATGAAGCCCGTTAAGCCGGTACAAAGTTCTGCATTTCAATATAATTGGCGCATTAACTTTACCACTTTTTTTCGTGTGGTGTAATCAGAATTTCAATACGTTTTGTCTTGATTCTTCATTATACTTAATTATTGCATATATGAGTACAGCTTGAAATTTGATTTCAAAAGTGTATGTCAGACATACAATAATACTTTATAATGATAATTATTTAAAAAAAAACGATTTTCTTAAGGAGGACTTGCAATTATCAAATAGTTATTTGTTTCTCAACATGGTCGACCAAGTATTGCTTGAATTTAATGATGTAATATCCAACATATCATGACGTAGATGGATGGTATAAGACCTCAAGTGTATAAAAAAATAATCTTCCTATAAATGATTTTAACTTATTAAATAAAGGTGAAAATAATAAATTTTTCCATTTCTTATTTATGAATACTAATTAAGGCATTGGAAACGATAGAAACGAACGTTTTAGAGTAAATAAATGCTTCGACGATGCTGCCGATTGCTGAACACATTTCATATCCGTCATACCTAAGACGATACACATAAAAGCTGATGTTTGGGGACAAGAGACGGTACGTCATATTAAAATTCTAATCATGTCAAGGAAAATAAAGACGATTTTGAGAAAATTCTATTTTGTTTTAGCGTATATCTGGTGTCACTTTTTTAGTTACCTAAAATCACATATAATGTTCACAGTCATAACCATAGACAAGCATAATAGCTTAAAATCGTATTTCTCATCGATGCGTTCATATAACTTGTCATATTCATCGACATAGGCATAATCTCTTGTCATAAGGTTGACCTTGAAGTTCACAGAATTCTCCTCATATGGTAACGATTCTATTATGCTTAAGCAAATGTATAAATCGACGTTAAATGCTCAACTTTGCCCCCATGTAACCGATTTCGTATATCCTACCGTTTCAAGGATCCCAATAGTGAGGATCGAATTTGTAACATTTGATATACTTATTGGCACTTCGAAACTTTTGCTGCTCTTTAGTGTTGCATTAATTCTTTCAAAATACTCCCTTAATGTTCATATGAGGGTATCTACCTATTTTCTGAGAGTTGCACAGACTGCCAAGAATACTCTTTCCACTACATAAAGCAGCCTGGTGGCGTTATGCGCTATCAGCGTTTCGTGTTATTTAACAGCAGCGCCGAATATTAAAAGTAAAACGTACAAAGACTGTAATCAATCCGTCCTCGGTCGATTCGGGACTCGGGAGTTGTATGGTTATCCACAGCCGCCAAGGATGAAAAGAATAAATCAGAGGGATCCATTACCGGAACTGAATTAACGTCACCTTGAAAAGAATTAAACGAATGGAATTAATTATAAGATTGATGGATTTCTCAAAGGATACGCCTGCCTGCAGCATAGCACATAAGCGTTTGTACTTAATCATCAAAATGGCACCTTGGGATATGAGCGAGTTATCGATATGTTTGTAAACCAACAACAATTGGTTGAAAAATTGTACTCGACTTGGAATGCTAAACTTACTTAAACGTAAACTATACTAAGTGACATATAAATCCGAACACCCAGTTTAAATGGTTTTATTTTAATAAAATTTTGTATAAGTACTTAATGAAGCATAATAAGTAAATGATAAAAATTTCAAAATGATTACACTGCTTTAAAGCCCTTTGACCTTTAATAATGTGTGGATGCACCCTGATGTGCTACGCATTCTCCAACGCGTCTAGGCATCTTTCTGATCAGGTGGTCAATGTCCTCCTGTGGTATCTCATTCCAGGCAACCACCAACTCCTCTCGAAGTGCTTCTAGAGTCTGAGGAGGACGTTGCAAATTGAGCAATCTCCTACCCATCATATCCCACACGTGCTCAATTGGGGATAAGTCGGGAGATCTTGGTGGCCTTGGTAACAATGTGACATCATTATGTTGAAAGAAGTCTATTGTGACTCTTGCAACATGTGGTCGGGCATTATCTTGTTGGAAAGTTGGATCTGCCAGGGTGTCAAGATAGGGTAAAAGATGGGGTTCTAGAACTTCGTGGATATAACGCTGCGCGTTCATGTTACCTCTGATGAAGATTAAAGGTGACCTGGAACCATAAGCTATAGCACCCCAAACCATAACTGCAACAGTATGATGAACATGTCTTTCAACAAAAAACTGTGGATTCCTCCTTTCACCACGTCGCCTTCTAACCCTGGCACGACCATCGTGCATGCCAAAACAAAATCGAGACTCGTCACTAAAGACAATACTGATCCATTCCTGATCCCAGAGTGACCGTTGTCTGCACCACTCAAGGCGATTACGGCGGTGTTCTCGAGTTAAAGGGAGGACCCCGTGTGGCCGGTATGAAAACAAGCCAAAACTTCTCATTCGTCGGTAAACACTTCGCATGCCAATAGGTCTTCCGGGTTCTGCAAACCATTCATTTGCAATGGACCTGGTAGTGGAGAAACGGTCCCGTAAGGCCAATAATCTTAGGCGGCGATCTTCACGGTCTGTTGTTCTACGGCGGCGTCCAGTGCCCCTTGCTCTTTGCGTACGACCTTCTCGAAGCCATGCCTGACAACACCTAACCACAGTGTCTACACTTCTTTGCACTCTAACTGCAATTGCCCGAAAAGAAAGTCCAGCTTCCCGAAGTCCCACTATACGGCCCCTATCAAACTCACTAAGTTGACGAAATCGTACAGGTCTCCGTACTCTAGGCATCGTAACCGATCGTAAAGGATGTCAAGAACCAAAATCCGCCAACGTTGATTCTTTACTGCGGCTGAAATATTCATTTTTAGAGCGTTAGTGAATTAAAAAAAAGCAATATAAAAACCGGAATGTCCAACTGATAAGGCTGAAAAATTTTTCACTTGTTATTTACAGTGAGATAAATACATTCACCAACTTTTATTAAAATAAAACCATTTAAACTGGGTGTTCGGATTTATATGTCACTTAGTATATACCGCGTGTTTCAAATTCAACCCTCACCATTGAGATCTCGGAAACGGTAAGAGATACGAAGTCGCTTAATGGGGGTAAATATGCGTATTTAGTAACTGGCTTGGAGAGTTTCGAAATTCAAAGTACTTCGGGAGACAGACGAAGACGATGTTTCATCTCGTGTCCCCCAGCATCATATTTACTTTGTGTTTTAGACGCTATATTGGATTTTTACGCAGATGAATAGAGCTTTTAACTATTATTCCAAAATGTATATGTCATACCTACATTGACATTGCCAAACGTTAGTTATTCCACAGAAACAGAATTTCCTAGGTAGGTCTCAAAATTATCAGATAGTCATTTGTTTTGTATACCAGACCAGACTCCAAACTGAACATAGTAACAGAGCTTGGAAGACTAACAAGAAGGAAAATAAAGCAGTGAGTAATGCATCGAGAGTAATGGTTATGGTTACTACCATCAATAAAATTTTTATGTTGTTTTCAGGTTCAACATATGACAGAACAAAGTTGGTGATGGAAGTCGAAAGAAGAAACCTCGAATTGAAATTTATCTCCACAGTTCCCGAGATCACAATGGTGAGGGTTGAATTTGAAACACCCGGTATATTTTCAAGTAAATTCATGGCAACAAAGAATGGAAGATAAATTATTATGTTCTGAATTCCTGTAAATTATTTTGAACATTTCATCAAATGCTGGTATTTCGTGGATTGCACATTCACCTTTTCTACAATTATGTTTCAGAAGGAAAATTGAATCTGCTTTCATTATTTCTAAGGCGATATTGTAATCATACTTGAGGAGCAGACTTGCAACATGCATTTTGTAAAAAATTTCAATATTTGATATAGAGGTTTCGCTGCATTCCTATGATGAGGTACTAACTCTCTATGAACATTTGAACAGTTCAAATGCATTTAGTCCCCGTGTTATTAGGGGGGAAATAATACCTACACAAACAAACTGATTTAAGTCCACTCAGTTTTTTATTAATGGGTGGAACATCAAACTCGCAGGGGAGCGACAGAAATATCTTCAGCCCTGCTTGATTTTTTGAAAAAGACCAATTTTGCCCCGAATATAGAGCTCTCCTCTGATGGATGCGGGGGGCAAAATAAAAATAGCTTTACCATCCAGATGCTAATGTTATGGTTATATAGCTATGCTCCAGTAATGATTAAAAAAATATATAGAAGTTATTTTCCCAGTGCGAGAACACTCTTATCTTCCGGCAGATACGACTTTTGGGAGGGTGGAATAGATTTTAAGATGACACGCGGTCATAAAAATAACTGAAAAGTATTGGGAACTTTACAAACAAGAAGGTGAAATTAGATAACTTGGAACTGATTGGTCACTGGTGAATATAAAACAAGCTTCAATCAATCAAAAGTCCTAGGAATTAGATCAAGTAAAAGAATAATCATCAAACGAGAGAAATTTCAATCTTTGTTGAAACCTAAAAAGCGGTTGGATCAAATCGAACTTCCCGAAGTACGACTTGAACATGAAATAAAGCAGAAAAAGCTTGATAGTCTAAACCACCTACTTGGATGGCTGAAATATTTGAGAAACTGTGGCAAACTGTAATGATGAAGATGAAGAGCACGAAAATTGATGAATTTATTTAAAAATAGAACCGTTTACTACTAATATTACTATAATACTTATAAATTTAGTTTTGTTTCATGATAATGTTCCAATATAAACCTTTTTTGTTTTAATAAAACACAATATTTTATTTTTGTTAACTTGACAATGACATTCAAATTACATTTTGTCCACTCTAGAGACAATCAAACCTTATGTCGACTTATAAAAGTGTTTTGAGTCATCAACTTTACGTAGGACGCGTGATGTCAGTGGCGGGGTATTATGGATGATCTTATTTGGCTTTATTAATTTTATAAATAGAGAAATAAGAAAATG